AGAAATCACATGACTTTATAAATTTTTTGTCAAAAAAAAATCATTATTTTTTGAATGATTTTCAAATTTTGGTTTTTTGAGTTTTTGGTGAAATTTGGCAGTGTGGCACAGTAAATGGTGGTTATAGACTTCGCGCACCATATAATAATAATAGTTTTCAAAAGATAGTATAGTCTATATACATTTTCTATTTTTGTAATAAATTCTAATATTTCGCCAGAAAACTCCTTAACAATTATATTGATTTTTGATAGTGCTTTGGTCTTTAATGGAATCCAATCACCATCAAACCAGAAATGCATACCTCCTTTGAATTCTGATGAAAGATCTATTATAGATGACAATCCCAACCTGTACATACATTTATAAAGTGATTAGTTAATTACAAAAAAAAACCATTAATAATATTGTTATTAAGTTTTACCATATAACACTCAATGCTTTTGAATCCACTTTTTCATTTTATTTCACTTCTTTGTTGCTTTTTTTGTCATAATTATAAGTTGATTTCTTACACTTTGATTATCATTTGGTTTCCAATTATAATCTTTGTTTTTTTTTTGTTCAGTGATCAATATACATGATTATATATATCTATACATTTATATTAGAACAAAATCAAACTAACTCAATCTAACTTACAGACCCATATTTTAAACTGTGACCTACCACCACACATACAATATACATGGGGGTGGTCCAGACCTAACGTCCTAGGAAAACCCCACAACTACCCTCCACACTCATCCCCTTTTCTATATAAATTATAATCTTTGTTGCTAGTTTTTGATCCAACAAAAGAGTTAAAAGATACATGTGCAAGTTCAACTGTATCTTCATTGTCAGAATCATTATCTAAAGAATTTTCTTCATCTTCCTCCTTATTGACAGGTGATGTTCCAGAACTTAATTCATCCTGTGAAATTTTAGATTAAACATAGAGACAACAGTTTTTTTAATCAGAACCACAATGTATTTTTTTGTTGCTAATGTTTGTCTGCTCCCTTGGATAATTCGAGAAGAAAAATGCAAATACCCTTACCAATTCTTCCACAGTAGCTATATCTATGTGATTGTGGTGTGGGATTCCCTAATTAAATCAAAATTAGGTGATGCCAATCAATAATAAACTTTTTTAAAAAAATAAAACTAGAGTAATGACAAGTGGCAGGTGATAACCACCACCATCCTTATTCTTAAAACACTTACCCACTTCCCCCAGCTGCTCCAGATGTATTTTCTTGTCTTCTTTTTTTCGTTTTGATTATACATTTTTTTTTTTAATAAAAATATTTTTAAAAAAGAAGTTTGTTATTTGATCCACATGACACATTAATTATTTATCCTATTGGTTTTTTTTTGGTAGGACAGATGTGAATTGATTGATTTTTTTTTTTGGAAAAAACAATTTATTTATTTTTTGACAGAGCCCAAGGTGACAAAACGTGAGTGTTGTTGTACACCAGAAATTCAAATTATGAGTTCAAGAACTGATTTGTGTGATACTTGTCAACATTTTAGAGATGGTTTGCATTATAATGCTCGCCAAGAGGATGAAGCTAAAGATTTACTCAAATGATTTAAAGAACATCTGTCCAAGGCAAGATTAGAAAGAAATTATTATAATAAAATACCAAATTAGCAGAAGAGCAAAGAAAATTGATTAATCAAAACTATTCAAAGGGTAAAACACAATATTGCAGTATTGAAGCTACTGCTCATTATAGTTATGATTGAGCCCAAAATGTTCATGTACCACATTCTGATCAGCAAGTAAGTAAAATTTATTACCTTAGTCCATGTAAAGTTCATTTATTTGGTATTCA